CCTTGCCAGATTTAATTCCAAATGGGCCTTAGCCTTCCTTGTCGCATCCCTGCATACTCTGACAATGTCCCTATATTCCTCCCAAGTGGCCTGTCCCTGCTTCCACCTCCTGTACACTTCCTGCTTCTCTTTGAGTTTTGCCAGGAGTTCCTTGCTCATCCATGCAGGCCTCCTGCCCACTTTGCTGGACTTCTTACTCAGAGGGATGCAGTGCTCTTGAGCCTGGGGGAAGTGATGCTTGAATATTAACCAGCTCTCCTGGACCCCTCTTCCTTCTAGGGTCCTACCCCATGAGATTCCTCCAAGTAGGTCCCTGAAGAGGCCCAAGTCTGCTCTCCTGAAGTCCAGGGTTGCGATCTTACTTATCGCCCTGCTCCCTCCTCCCAGGACCCTGAACTCCACCATCTCATGGTCACTGCAGCCAAGGCTGCCCCCAACCTGCGCATCTCCAACCAGCCCTTCCTTGTTTGTTAGTACAAGGTTTAGCAGCACATCTCTCCTTGTTGGCGTCTCCATCACCTGTGTCAAGAAGTTATCATAAATGTTCTCCAGGAACCTCCTTGACTGTTTGTGCCTAGCTGTGCTCTCTTCCCAGCGGATATCAGGGTGGTTGAAGTCTCCCACGAGAACTAGGGCCTATGATCATGAGGCTATTTCCAGCTGTCTGTAGAAGGCCTCTTTGAACAAAAGGCCTCATAGAACAGGGTCTAGAAGCGTGATGCTACACCTGCTAGGTGCAAAGGGCCTTGTACTTCAAATGAAGTCAATAGGAGTTGGGGGTGTTCAACACTCCACATTATCAGGCACAGACTCCTGAGGGGGAAGCATGTTTACTTACCATAGTAGCTTCTATTCTTCCGATATATTACCTTCACAGACACATACCAAAGTAATGACCATGGAACTATTTTGGAATTGAAGGACTCCTAGATGTCAGATTGTACCCTAAACTACTCTGTTGCCTGAAGTAATAACTAGCCTTGCAAGCTCTGCTCACTTCCATGGTTTTGAGGAGAGTCTTATGCTCTGAAGGCATGAAAACTGTTCCTATGACCCTGAGTTTCCATAGAGTGTAGACCACCTTCTCTCCTCTGTGAAGCTGCTTGTCCAAAACATACTGTGGGACACTACAGTTTGAACTCTCTCAGGAATCAAGGCAGTCGTAGGGAGAACAGGAACTCACTTCATGGAAGTACTCAGATTCACTTCCAGCTCTGCACATGCAGGAACAAGACCCCAAATTTACATTCTTTCAACTATTCTTTAGTCAGTCACCAGAACATCAGGCATTCCTTTTACATTTTTGACCATTAAAAGTACAACTCAAAATGAGCTTTTTAAAAATAAGCAACAGCTCTCTTATGTAAACAAGGGTGTTTATTAAGACAATCTTCAAACATTAAACTTCACTGCCCCACTTCCAAAGTGGATCAAGCTTTATTAAGAAATGAAGAGTAGAGGAGCCAGATGTACTCTCGCTTACCAAAAGCATATTGTTCTTATTAGTTGTGACACACAACACATTATGCATATTGACTATAATGACTGCACAGATGGTAAGGAGATACAGTTTAAGATCAGATTGCAATAGCAAAAGTGCAATCACAGCCTCCTTTACTGTGGTCATGTCCCCAAATTGATCTTTAAACCAAGCTGATACAGTACAAGATTAGTATGATTTGAATGCTGATTCACCTCAAATAATCCTTTGAAATAAATAACAATAAATGTGCAGGTACATCATAATATAGTATTCTATAACACAGTTTGGAGGTACTTTTGGAAACATTAAAATACAGTTCAGCAGTTTATACAATAGTCAAGACTAGATAAAGATTACTATAGCTTCAACATATGTAAAGGGTATTGCATAACGATTATCGAGCAACATTCTACAATGTGTGTTATGCAGGAGGTTAGGGTATATTTTAATGGTCATTCAGGCCTTCAAATCTATTGCCTTTATTCACAGTTATTCAATACTGAAGAAGCAGAATCTATTCCTCACCCAACATTACTATAAGAGAACATGTCAATCCAGACTCCACTTTATGTTGTTATACTCAGGAATAATTTTCCACTTCATTATTTTTAATTATAGCTAGAACGTGCAGTGATCTCTGGTGCTAAAAATATGTGACCAATTTCCATTGTAGTGAGCCTTTTCAGCTGTTTATTGGCAAGTTTTCATTTTACAGGCTGACTTTTCCAGACCATGTCTCCACCTCACAGCAACTGAAGTTGATGCAAATTAAGTTAGTTTTTTTTTTTGAGAGAGAAAGAGAATTAAAAAAAAAATTAGGATAATTTTAATCTCATTCAAGCATTTTTGGAAAATTCCTGCCATCTGAACAGATGACTCCAGAAGTTTTAAATCTGAGGCAGAAATTTGATAAGTGAGAGTTGGCTTTAATTGTATAGTTCTATATACACACAATGAATGAGATCTTATGAAAGTAATAAAAATATCAGAAAGTTCACAGATGACAAGTTGAGAGAAGCAGTTTATACACTGGACAACTGGAGAAATGGGCTGACAGAAACCTCATGAAGGTCAGCTAAGACAAATGCCAAGTCCTGCAATTGGGGAGGAATAACTCCATGCAACAGGACAAGCTGGGGCCAACTGGCTAGAAAGCAGCTTTGCAGAAAAGGACCTGGAGGTCCTGGTGAACAAGAAGTTGACCATGAGTCAGCAGTGTGCCCTTGCAGCCAAGGAAAACTGCATCCTGGGCTGTATTAGCAGAGTGTAGTCAGTAGGTTCTGGGAAGTGATTCTTCCCCTCTATTTGGCACTTGTGAGACCACATCTGGAACATTGTGTCCACTTCTGGGCTCCCCTGTACAAGACATACATTGACATACTGGAGTGAGTCCAGCAGAAGCGATCACTGAGATCATTGGGGGCTGGAGATGTATAAGGAAAGACTGATAGAACTTTTTCTTTTTTTTCCAGCCTTAAGAAGAGAAGGTGATAGTGGCACATGTAGGGGAATCTTATTGCTGTCTTTAACTACCTATCAGGAAGGTATAGAGAAGATGGAGCCAGACTCTTCTTGGAGATACACAGTGATAGGATAAGAGGTGAAGCACAGAAGTTGCAACAAAGGAAAGTCTGATTACATACAAGGGAGAAATTTTTCACCACAAGGATGATCAAACACTGGAACGGGGGGGGGGCAAAGAGGTTGTAGAATCTCCATCCTTGGAGAGTTTCAGAACTGAATTGTACAAGGCCCTAAGCAACCTAATGCAATTTTGGAGTGGGTCCTGCTTTGAACAGGGGGTTGAACCAGATGACTTCCAGAGGCCCCTTCTAACCTACATTAATCTATGACATAACAGAAGAAAGAGCAACATTGGGGGCAGACATTACATAATCTTAATTTCGATGATTCTTTGTATTCTATTGCAGTGTGTGCATTCTCTTAACAAATCTGATTAACAGGTGTATAACAACTGGAAATAACCAGACTAATCTGTATTTGAACTGAAGTTTTATTCATGTATATGTTCAAAGCATATTTATATTGCTAACTTACACAATACTTTACAAATGGCACTGATAAGGAAACTAGTTTACAGCAGGAGAGGAAGGGATCAGAATCCAACCAGTCGTTTGGGTTGTCTCAGACCCCAAGATACTTTTTTAGATTTTTCTCTGCTGCTCCTTAGCACTTCTTGGGACCTGTTAGATTTCTGCCTTGCTGAATTTACTATGCAAATATCACTTCATCTCTGCAGGCACTCCCTTTTGTGACTACTTTGAGTATAGAAATATACAAGACTCAGGTCTCTAAATTGAAACACCAAATACAAAAGGTAAGGGAGAGGGAGAAACTATCTCAGGGACACACATTAATGTAAATCTGTTATATCAGTCATTTTGAAAGATACTGCTCCTTACACAGGACTCAAGTTTGCTAACCAAGGAACTAAGACGAAATGCTATCAGCAGACAGACTGGCTAGCAGTATGCCAGAGAGAAGCTGTCATCTCTGATGGGGAACATACTAGAAAACATGAACACAGATTAATGTCCCTCACCCTTCAATTTAGCTGCTTCAGAGTTAGAAAAAAACCAATACTAGCAGTATACACAAATAGGTGACCGCATCAAAGGTTCTGTTTCACTGCCCCAAGCTTTTTCTTCACATCCCTAGGCCAGAGAACGTAAACATAGCAGCAGCATGGGAAACGCTATGTTACACACTACTGATGAGAGCCCAGCCTGCATAGACCCAAAAATATCAAGTGCAACAACACTCGGACAATCCAAGACTACATTCATAACAAAAACATTCCTGTACAATGGAAATAAAAACTGGTAATGCAAATGGAAATGGCTACTGAGCTTGTAAGCACCATATTCAATTATCTCCTGATTTACATTAGAAAAGAAAAAAGTAGCTGTGATTCTTCCAGGGTGTTTTGGAATTTCCATTTGTATCAATTAAACTTCTTGAAGCAGAGGGTTCCCGCTTCACTCTTACAGGCCTGGTGCTCTGTTAGCACTCAATAATACCTTCACAAGAAGATGCATGGTAAGAAGGTGACTGAAAAGTATCCTCTACCAGCTGATATATGAAAATTCCTAGGAAAAACATTTACATTCTTTCAAGTTCTAGACTGATAAGAATTACCTAGTCAAGGTAGCTTATTCCAACTCCCAGCAGAATGGGGAGAGTCACCATTATTAAACAAGAAAATGTTCATAGAACCATTCAGGTTGGTAGGAGCCTCAAGAGGTCTCTACTCCAATGTCCTGCTCAAAGCAGAGTCAGTTAATGAGGTCAGACCAGGTTGCTCAGGGCTTTCTCCAGTTGGAGCTTGAAAATCTCCAAGGATGGAGGTGCTATCACCTCTCTGAGCCTCTGTTCCAATACTTAGCTATCCTCATACTAAACACTTTTTTTCTTTATATCCATTCAGAACCTTCTACGTTTTGATTTCTGACAACTTTTTCTTGTTCTTCCACCATGTACCTCAGTAAAAAGCCTGGCTCCATCTTCTCAGTAACCTCTGCTTTACTATTGAAAAGCTGCTATTACATCTCCCTTCTCTTTTCCAGACTGAACAAGCCCAGTTCCCTCAGCTTCTCCTCATAGTGCACGTGCTCCAATCCACAGACTTGGTGTCCCTCTGCTGGACTTGTTGCAATTCGTCAATGTTTTTTACTGAGAGGCCCAAAACTGGACACAGTATTCCAGGTGCTGTGTAAGGAGTACCAAGTAAAGTGGAATAATATCACTTCCCTCAGCCTACTGGCTACACTCCTATTGATACAGTCCAGGATGCTGTTAGCCTTTCTTGATGCCAGGGCACACTGCTGGCTCATATTTAGCCTACTGTTCACCAGGACCCCCAGGACCTTTTCAGCGGAGCTGCTCCCCAGCCAGTCACTCCCCAGCCTTGCTGAAGTCAAGGTAAATGTCATCCATTGCCTTCTATGATGAAATAACTGGCGCTGTAGACAAGGGAAGAGCAATCAGGTTGGTCAAGCATGATTTTACCCTTGGTAAATCCATGCTGGTTATTCCCAGTCACCTCCTCCTTCATGTGCCCAGAAATGTGTTCCAAGAGAACAAATGATTTTCCCAGGGACTGAAGTGAAGCTGACTGGCCTGTAGTTCCCTAGATTCTCCTTCTTGCCCTTTTTGGAGATGGGTGCAACAACTGCCTTTCTCCAGTTGTCAGGGACCTTCCCCCAATTTCCACAACCTTTCAAAGATGACAGAGAGCAGCCTCACAGTGACATTGGCCAACTCTCTCAGCATTCTTGGATGCTGTAGCAGTTAGCATGAGTTAGGCCATGAACTTTAACCAACTTTTTGCTGTAGTAGAAATAGACGAAATATGATCAACCACCTGTCCCGAACAGCAGAATAGTTTTGGTGTGCTCAAGGAAATGGATAGCCAAACTATGCAAACAACCTGTTGATCATCAAGAAGTGCAAAAGTGTCCAGAAGAATGAGCAGATTGTGAGAGCCAACAACAGTGCCAACAAATTAGAAAATGATAACACAATCTGAACAGACTAATCATCAACAAGGTATTCTCTACCCAATCCTACAACTAAGGACACATAAGAAACTGAGGTGACTGAGTTTCTGAAGAGACTCTGGGGAGGGAAGCCCCACAACCCTTCACCAGGATCTGGAACCATCTTCCCAACCTCCAGGGAACCCAGGGAGTGGAAAAGAGCCCAGGGAAATCTCATGACCCTGTGCGAGGACTACACACAGCATGGCAGGAACCACCATGCTGACCCACCCAACCTCTCTCCAGGACCACACCATCTCTCCCATGGAACAAGGTGGTTGTATAAGAAACTGCTATGCTGACCCGCCTGACTTCTCTTCTTCACTGAACCATCTCCCCCACAGCACAGGGAAATAGTGTAATTCATAAAATTGCATATATTGGTGATTCAAGTGCTTTGATATCCAAATCCATTTAGCCTCCACACTGTCATTTGGTCTTAAACCACAACAGATGCATCTCATGGACCTGTATGGATCAAGATTTCTCCAGAGATCTCTAACTCGATACTCTTCCATTACTGGTAGTTGTTCTCCTCCTTGAACCAAGTCCCCAGGCACAAAGGCCTGGGAGACCTTGTTGGTGAAGACCAAGGTAGAAAAAGCATTGAGTATCTCAGCCTCTTCCACATTCGTTGTCACTAAATCACCCATCCCATTCAGCAATGGGCCCACGTTTTCCTTGTTCACCCTTTTACCATTAACATAGCAGTACAAGCTCTTCTTGTTACCCTTGATGTCCACCACAAGCATCAATTCTAGCTGAGCTTTGGCTTCCCTAACACCATCCCCACATGGCCAGGCAATCCTTCTATGTTCTGCCTTTGTAGCCTGTCCTTGCTTCCACCTCCTGTATATATCCTTTTTGCATTGGAGCTCAGTCACAAGTTCCCTGCTTAGCCAAGACAGACTCCTGATAGAGCTACTCATTTTCATGAGTATCTGGATGGACTGTTCTTGTGCTTGGAGGAGGTTGTCCTTGAAGACCTGCCAGCTCTTTGGAGCTCCTTTGCCCTTCAGAGCTGCCTCCCACAGGATCCTACTCACCATTCCCCTGAATAAGTCAAAGTCTGCTCTCCTGAAATGCAAGATCTGTACTCTGTTACTTCCCTTCCTCATTCCCCTCAGGATCTTAAGCTCCACTATTTCATGGTTGCTAGAGCCAAGGCTGTCATTGATTGGCACATATCCTCAACCAGTTCTTCCTTGTTTGTGAGTAACAGATCCAGCTGTGCATCACCCCGGTTGGCCCATCCAGCACTTGTGTTAAGAAGTTGTCCCCCCAACACCCTACAGAAACCTTCTGGATTGCTTATATCCTGCTGTGTTGTCCTTCCAGCAGATGTTAGGGCGGTTAAAGTCCCCCAGAAGAACCAGGGTGTGCAATCTGGAGACTTCCTCAAGTTGCTTAAAGAAGGTTTTGTCTACTACCTCATGCTGATCAGGTGGTCTGAAACAAGCTCCCACCATGATATCACCCCTTACTGGTCTCTCCTCTGTTCCTGACCCACAACCTATCAAACAGCCTGTCACCCATTCCATAGAAGAGCACCATATGTTCAAGCTACTCCTTCACATAAAGAGCAACCACCCCCCTCCTTCCTTGCCTTTCTTTCATAAAGATCTGTAAGTTGTAGAAGCCCTTAAAAGCTACTATTTTATAAGACCATTTCCAATTAAAAGATAGAATGTTATGGCTTTTATTAATTTTTTGGGGTCTTACATCTCTAAAAATTATTTTTTCCTAGTTGGAAGGGCTGATCTTTCCAATGTACAACCAATCCTTGAACAAGATCTCTTCAAGTTATCAGTTATTCTAGGTGAACTTCCTAATAATACTTGATGAACTTTGAAAGTTTTTTCCTCTAAACATCTGAATGCATGCATGGATAGGGTGAGAGACCATATCATAAACTGGCATCCATTTTGAGTCAAAAATACATCAGAATAAGATACAACTCTATGAAGGGAGCAGAGAAGCACAATACATTTACCAGCTCTAAAACTTACACTATTATACCATTGCAATTTACCCCAGGGAAGAACATCTTTCTTAGATGTAAAATAAAAACTATATGGGCAGTGAAACTCCAGGCTTCCCACCTCCTAAGTCCAAGTCAATATAACTAGAGAATCATACTTACTGGAGGAGGCACACTACAGATAGGAAGGTGCTGTCCACTGAATACCACAGAACACCCTGGGACCTGCTGTGTGCTGCAGGCTGGTATGTGCTGGCTTGTACAGAGTGGAATTCCATGCGGTGCCACCGTTGTCACTGTGTATGAGACAGGGACTGCACCCTGATGGATCTGCAGTAAAAGGAAACAAGTGTATGAAGTAAGTTATTACAAGGGCTTTGGACAGTCATGGCATGGCATAGAAAACAATAAGCTTTCACCTAACATAACAGAAAAGTATTTTTACACTGAAGGTGTAAAAGAAGGCAAATACCTGTAACCCCTGTTCTTTAAAAATATTCATTTCATTGGAGTACTACTCTTCAATCAGTGTTTTTGGGGCAAGGCCAGGAGGGAGCTCTCAACTTAAGATGTTAAATCCTCCAGGACACCATTAGAAGCACTCAAAAGCATCTCAAATTCAGCAGCGCCCCCCCCAACTAAGGTTAGTTCTTAAAGAAAATAGGCAGCAGCAACTCCCACGTAAAAGCCAATCAAAAAAAAAAAGACCCCCCCCCTTCACAATTAGCTAAAAAATCTCCTCAACTCTTACTCAGCTCTTACTTACAGAGTGATTAAATGGTAATCTACAGAGACATATCCTCAAAGAACAAGAACTTCAAATAGATTTTCTTTCCTGCAAAGAGGCCAATCTCTGCATTCCTACTCAGGCCAACACTGTGTCTTAACATGACTAACAACAGTAGATGAAACCAAAGACTAACTTAAAAGCTGAAAAGGACAAGGTTACATATTTGTAAACATGCCTCTGAGATAGCATCCCCTAAATATCTACAAACAGTAGGAAAAATCCTGGCTTACAGATGTTTTTAATTAACAATATTCACTTAGAACTCAGTCATCAAACCAAGGGTAGAAGATACTCTGGACCCAGACACTGCTCAATTCCCTGCAATATATCAGGGATCTCTAGCAAAAACTGCAAAGAATCATAGGCAGAGAAGATGGATCCATAGAAAGCAATTATTTTGAAGAATCTTCCTTCACAATCTACTAAAATGGAATTCCTCCTTGGGAAATTAACAAGCAAGAACAGCTCATTACGAAGATGAGAATAAGTAAATTGAAGAGGACTAACCTACTGAACTGGCTATCAGATACAGAGGCCAAAACAGGAACACCACACAGATGACTAAATAAAACTTCAAATCTCAAACTTGCACGTATTTGGGACAAAAAACACTCAGCAGAAACAGCGAATTTGACTTAGTTCTGGCCCAGGTATCAATGCAAATATTTTGCACAAGGTCTATCAGAGAGGTTTTAATGTTTTAATGCCATAACTGTTGGGCGTTTGAGGGCAGTGCCAGATGTGATTCAGGAGAGGTTACCACTGCTCTCATAGTGCAGAAAGGAAAACAAACAAAAAATGTTTTCTAAGAGAAAGGGTTCCCTCTAGAGCAGTCTGTGCAAAGCACCATCAGGGAAGACCCACAGTAACTTTGAAAACCATCTGGTTGTGGATGGTGCTTGGAAGGTAGTGGCAGCGTCACAGAACAATTATTTTCTCAAGATAACATCATAACTCTGATCACCCAGAACAAACACTAATTGCATTTTTATTTTGAGATACTGCAGTAACTCAGCTGTTCATCAGATACAAGCAAAGGCTATGAGATGGTCAGAAAGGCTATAACTTTAACCCATGCACTCTGCTCCAGATGCAGATATTTCCTTACTGAGCAGTGCTCTGCACAGAAAATACAACATCAGTGATCTGCTGCTGTACTGAATGCAAATCAGTTTATAAGTTGTGCTACAACAGTTGTATTTTATGCCTGGGCAGTTTGGGACCTGGATATCTGAATGACCAACTCTGTCCCCAGTTCATGAATGTAACTGCATAGCAACAAACACACTTGGGCTGCAGCCCACTGATTTGAACAAGAAAAAGCTATAGCAAGAGGACAATTTCCTTTAAAGAGCCTCAATTATGGGATCTTGCTCTACTTCCTGTCTCAGAGAAGACCTAAATTATTTTTCTGGACCAACTGCAAATCTCGTCTTCTCATGCCATTTAAGGAGCTGGTTGAGGCTAGAATGAATAATTTAGCGATGAGACAATATTATCATGAGTTTTGCTGTTATGTAGACAGTCAATTATATGCATTGTGAATTCTATTTTTAAATAATGTATTTTAACTATGTAAAGCACTTTAAGCTAAGGAGAGATACCTCATATGCAATGAAATAAAATACATTATTACCATATCATATTTTAAACTAAATTAACATCAGAAGCAGGAGAGTCACATTTCAAATGTGGGATCCAGAGACCTTCAAAACTGTGCCAACATACTGACAAATTGTTGACTTTCACTCTTTTGTATCAATCTGGATTTTTTTTAAAATAACAAAATGTATCGTAATGTTTTCACTGAATACTGCAGCTTTCTATACACTGATATTACTCAGAAGAAAAAAAACTTGCTCTACAAGAAGACTGATAGGAGTTAGTGTTATGTGATCTTCACTGCCAACTAATTTGGCAAGGAGAGCTTGCTCATTGCTCTCTTAGGAGAGGAGAACACAGAGTCCTCAAGACATTTGCATCCATGTTCTCAACACACTCTTACCTGATCATGAATGTCGACCATTACTGCATCCTGCTGTGGTGGGTGAGCAGCAGGGTGCAACATACGAGGAGATACATTAGGAGGATGAAAGCCTTGGGGCTCTTCTATTGCTTGCTGCTGTCCATAGGAGAGATGGTGATAGTTTTCATCTTGGCTAATGGAATTATGTCGAGACAGACGATCCCTTCTTGCTCTCTGACGGCGAACAGGAGGACTGAAAACACATTTTAAAAAAAAAATTAAAAATAACATTAAGAAAGGTTTGTGGCATTTATATATAAGAAGCACAAAGAACTCAATAATAAGGACAATTTTACACTAGAAAGTTTTACCAGAACAGGTATGTTAGCTTGGAGTATAACCTTTCATTGATAAAACTGCTAAAAGCCCTAACATTAACACTTATTTCAGCATAAGACTTCTTGAGTATAGCTTAATGCAACAGCAGAAACCAGAAAAAAAATATTTTATACAAATATTATACACATATTCCATGTATTTTTATAGACATTTTTCCTTCACAAAGCCTGATAAAAAGACATTTGAGCACTTGACTCAGAAGCTCTGAAAACAAGAATGAAAACTTCAAGAGACTCCCATATATTCGCACTACAGGAGAAACTTTAAGTACATGATCACAGACATGTAGACAAATGATTTCCTTAACTCTTACATGTGACCATTACTAAAATTCCCAAGTGATTCACAAAAATTATCTTCAGAGAATCCTAGCAAGAAGTAACAGTGGTAGCATTTCTATTTTATAATGGGTACCTGACATTTCACAGAATCACAGAATCACAGAATCGTTTAGGTTGGAAAGGACCTCTGGAGATCATCTAGTCCAACCTCCCTGCTCAAGCAGGGTCACCTAGAGCATATTGCCCAGGATCACATCCAGACAGGTTTTGAATATCTCCAGCGAAGGAGACTCCACCACCTCTCTGGGCAACCTGTTCCAATGCTCTGTCACCCTCACAGTGAAGAAGTTTTTTCTCAGGTTCAGATGGAACTTCCTGTGGTTCAGTTTCTGCAAAAAAGCACAGGTGCTTTAGTCACATCCCAGAAATGAATATTAAATGCCCACTCCCTACATTTGTGGGCAAGACGAAATGTACAAAATAACTTTAGTGTGACTATACTGGCAATAGTGCTGTTTTTCTTTCTTTGCAGTACTTCTGATTCTCCATGTGCTTTATAGTTTGAACTCTGGGAAAATAAAGTACAGCAAATAACAATAGCCTTCATTGCGAGTAAATATTAGAGCTGGGAAAATATTTTGGAAAAAAAAAAATCTCTGTCAACATTTGTTTGAATTTTTAAGTAGCTTTGCCGTGATCATGCATGTATTCTTTCGGTTTACTTGCAGAAAGGGTCAAGTTTTAATAGAGAGGGTATATTCAGGGGTGAATTTCAAGGTTGTTTGAACAAATGTGTCCGAGTTTGGCACAGAAGTGCCATCTTCATAGTGAAGATGGGGTAGCACCGTCTCTCAGACACGAGCAACTGTAAACATGTTTATTTTGAAACCAGCTGTAGCCGCATTGGACTCAAAATCAGAACACATTTCATTTTTAGATTTTCTCAATGGAAGGGATCTGACTTTGTTGAATTTCTTAACTCAGTAAATTTCTTTAGAATCTTGTATTTCTCAGCCTTGCTTTTCCAGAACCGAAATTCACCCAAAGTTTTAAAATTAGAAAGCAAAAATAAGTCTTTAAGGTTGGTGTTAAGCAAAATGTGGCAGGTAACAAATGTTCCCTCATCAGTGTGCTTCAACGTATCCAGCAGCCACAAAATCTAAGGTACTAGCTGAGTTCGTAATAATCAGCAGGATATGACACATCTGAATAGCAAAATGTCAGTGGTCTGAATAGCAAAATGTCAGTGTTCTTTTTAGTTCATCCCAGAGATTTTAAAAGGTGGAGGCAAATCCGAAGCACTCTGTGATGTAAATGAAACATCAAAAAAAAAAAAAAA